TTATTGGGATCGCACAAAAGAAACAATTTTTCGCTGTTGGTAAGTCGATGTTAAGACACGAAAACTTGTTGCAGCAACTCGAAGCTTGTAGGGGAGAGGGCGACGAGGAAAGGGGACGGGTAACGAGTTGCTCGTACTCGGGAAACACAATTTGTGCCCTCGTTCCTCTGAGTAATTCAAGACAACTACAATTGCGTACAAGAGTTTCTGTGCGTGAATGCAAAGGGCAACACCAAAAGAGAAATCGCCGATAATAAGCAGCTCGAGTTTCCGTGTCTGAACGCAAACTAAGAACGATCAATAATATGCCTAATATTCCGTTTAATGTTTTTTCACGTTTTGCTTTTTAGAGCAGGAAATTTGCAAAATACAGTCAAAAATTTCACTAAACGAGCACCGTTATGGAAACGCCTTAGAGTGGGCTATTCGCTCAAAGGATACACTCTACGTAACTTCAATAGCGGATTTTTTATTAAATGTAGGCATTTTTTTCTTTTTAGTGTCAGATAATTATGTTATTAAATTATTTGCAGCACTATTCAAAAACTGGAGATATGCTTTGCCCAGATGTTATCGCAAACGTTGGCCCCAAGATGTTCATCTCCCCACGCTTAGTCTTTTTAGTGAAATATTTTGATTTTTATCAATTTTATAGGAAGAGGGATTTTTTGCCAGCTGCGGAACTCTTGGTTAACTTGCTGGAATCCAAGATTACGCCAGAATAGTAAGTTTCTATACAACTAGGGGGATTCTCGAAGAATTGCAAAGCCCTTGCACGATGCAAACATTTCGCAAGACTTCAAGAATCTCCCTACTTTATTGCAATATATTACAACCCTATTGTGAGTGTAGACTAGTAGTAGATAAACGACTGTTAGTGGATTATCGATTATCCGTGGTATTTTCGAAGTCGTTTTCTCATTCAATAAATGAGTGCTAATAGTTTATAGTCGCTCATCCTTCTACAAACAAACAGTTGAAGAAAGATAAGCAACTAAAAACTATTCACAGTCGCTTGTTCAACTAGAAATCGACATTCATAATACCATGAAAAAGCGATAGTCGAATAATAGTCGTTTATCTACTACTAGTCGACACTCGCAATATTTGTGTTAATCTTTTTATTTGTATTGTGCACATTTAAAATTTTTAAACTCAATTTCAGCTTCTGGCCTTCATTGCTGATTGATTCCATTCCTTTACTGGAATCGAAAGATCCAAAAATACTTTCTAAAGAGACATGCGCGATTCTACATCACTTGGAATCCGAGCTGGTACCGTTAATTGATAAGAAGAAAAAGCGGCTGGAGAAGTATCCTGATGTAAGTTTTATCTAACAATTTTAATTAAATATGCAAATATGTACACATATTAAATTTACAACTTTTTTCATTTAGGAGCCAATCGAAATTCTTAAGGACTATCGAATAGAAAATATTGAAGAAATTATTAACCTACTACGTCTTGCTTGTGCTCGCAACTTGTCTCGGGCTATTATAATCGAAAACACTATTATGGGGTGAATACTAATTATCATTAAATATTTATTTGTTTAAAACTAAAATGCTAAATACAAACTGTTTACATCTACACCAGTTTTAGAGACAAAAATAATTAATTTAATTCTTAATCACGCCTAAATATTGGCCTGTCAAAAAATTACGAAAAGGTTAACAAATAATTACATTTTAGGGGCTCTTTGTAGTTATGCTTAATATTGCGAGTTTTAAAAGCCATATTTATCAAATTAATTCGGTTTTTTGCAAAAAATATACTTTGCGTACATTTTACCCAGTACACTTCTTAAAAAATATAAAAAATCGGCGAGTGAACATTACATTATGCTTAAAAACGAAGTACTAATAATATAGAAGAAATTACGTTTTAAAAATCGTTACATACAATGTTAGAACTATCTTTATTTTCACACTATAGGATAACACAACAAAAGGGTTATTAACGATCCACCTATTAAGCTTGCAACTTTTATTGTAGTAAGCACACTATAGGCGGGGAGGGGGTGGGGGTATATTTTAATATCATAATCAATTTTTTTATTACGAACCGCTAAAGCTGCATCGCAAATACGAATAATTATACGCGTATGCACTCATAGCATTCACACACTTAATCCAGGCTCAATCCAGTTTAATTCAAACGAAAATCAAAATTAATCAAATTAAAGTAACCCGAACTAAAACGTATTTAAACGAAACGGTTTTTTTCCGCCTTATACAATTTTTTACCTGCCATTTGACAAATTCAAAATGTGTAGAGCCAGCTAATACATATAGCCTGTTCCCGTACTTCACGATTTGCAGGTTTTACAGGCTGTTTTCGCCTTTAATAAACCTTATGTGAACGTGTCGCACGGGAACGACTTTGGACCAAATCCTACAAAATTAAATAAATAAAAATATATTTGAATTTATTCAGGAGCTCCATAGCCATGGGTAATAGCGCAATTTTATGGCGCTAGCTTAATAACGTCGGCGCTACCTATGGTGTCAGCGCAATAGCGCAGCGTACTGATTTGAACACGGTGCCATCTGAGTGTCACCACAGTACCCATCGTCATACAGTGTAACACAACATACAGTGGGGTCATGTGAATTTAATTGCTAGGAATGTAGTAAATGCCACGATATTCTCATCATTATTGACTAAAAGCTTTAATTTTGGCAAGATACTTAAGTTTCTGCCGGTCTCGCTCAAAAACAAAAACAAAGTACGTGTAATTTTTCAATTGAGGGATTCATAACGGTGTCGTATTGTTGTATGACGTAAACTTTAAAAGCTTAAATAAATGTTTAGAGAACTTGAAACCGCAACCAACTATTTTAACACTGCGAAAATTCATAATATGACTTTGGTGGTACTTTGCGAATCCCCTTAATATATTTTTTATGCGTTTAAAGTTTACGACATACAACAATACGACGCTTACGACACCGTTGTGAATACCCCAAATGAATTAAGGCGAATTGTATATGTGTTGATGGCGCTAGCGTTTTTCATATCGACTGCTGAGTGGAAGATCGACCTTTCTCGGCAGCCAGTTCGAAAACGCCCTACCTAAAAAAACTTATTGAGAATGCCATATTTCAGAATTTTATTGAAAAACACCCTATCTCAGGATTTGGTTGAAGAACGGCCTATTTCAGAATTTGATTCAAAAATGCCATATCTCACTTCAAAATGTATTGAAAATGTGCGGATATAGAACGTTTTTGAATCGGCAACTGAGATAGGCATTTTTTGAAAAGAATTCTGAAATAGGGCGTTCTTCAACCAAATTCTGAAATAGGCCGTTCTTGGAAAGTTTTTTGAGATACGGCGTTTTCGAACTGGCTGCCGAGATAGATCGATCTTCCACTCAGTCGATATATTGGTTGGGGCGGCAACTCCGGCACTGCCGCGCAAGGCAGTGTTACCCATTCCTAGAACTCCAAGTAACATCATATCGGAAAGTTTTTTTTTTTTTATTTGGAAATACGGAGACCTACATGCCGGAGAAAGGTTGGTGCTACGATAAGAAATAGAGACCTACATCTCACAATCTGAGCTCTTTCGTCAATGGTGAACTTAATATAAAAAAGCTTCTCAACAGTTAAAAGACATCCTCGTCAAATACGGACCTTGACATGCAACTTTTTTGTTTAAAACTGGTTTTATCTAATATTTAAATACGCAGAAACGCAATCACTTACAATTAATTCTTCTGCCACCTGGATAAACAGTGTTTGTACAGAACCGAAGCAATTGCTTGTAAGCACAGTATTTAAGACTGAGTGTATGGTCGATAAATTTTCCCCTAATTATAACGATTAAAAAATGCAATGATTACAAAAAATGTAAAAGAAATAACGATTACTTTCTATCTCTGGTAAGCTATTACTTTCACTTAGGTACGTTTAGTTTTAATTGATTGAATGGAAATTGGGTGTATTCGAGCTGCAATAAATGGTTGCGTTCCAGATGCTTCACGATTTGCAGGTTTTTACAGGAAGTCGTTCCAGGTGACCACCTTCCATAAGGTTTATTAATGGATAAAACAGCTGTTGCTGCAAATCGTGAATATGGCTCATCATTGGCAAATTAAAAGCAACATAAAAATTTTTACTGCGCAATTTCTGCAGCATTTTAGAAAATTTTCAGTTGCATTAGCGACAAGTCATCAGGAAAGCAACAAGGCTGCAATAATGCGGTAATTATTACGTAGCTCGAACGCACCCTAATTTTTAGAATAAACTGATTTCGCTTGGATTAAAATATGCAAATGCTACATACATTTACATATCGTTACCTTAATATAGAAAGGTCCTAAATCATATTGTCGCTGAAATACAAAAAGCCGTAACTAAGTGAAAATCCATGATGCATTTCATAGAATTACAATTCCGAACATCATTTTAAGCAATAAAGGATTTTAGTCAGTTACGGCTTTTTCAGCGACTATATGAGTTAGGAGGGCCTTTCTATATAAGGGTAGCGATATGCAACACCCTTAACACGTGGGCACTACTTCATGAACCATTTTTGCTGCCTATTCTTTTTTACTCGGTGAACCGATCGTTTATTATTTCTAATTGAGATTATTGTTAATTTTATATAATACTACAATTTTACAGTTATGTAACTGTTTGAGTAACGCATAAGCTAGTAGGTAATGATTATATTTATGTCTATTATATATGGCCATGAATATGATTCAACTTTTTAGATTAGCAATCGTGTACATATCGCACACCGTCTTCAAAAGAGTCTCAACTCAAAATTTGGCAGTTTTGAGATTATGTGCTGAAAATGTACACACAGCCTTTATTTACCTTTCAACAAAAGCTGGAGCAAATTTTTGTTATAATTTTAAAAAAAAAACCTAAGGTAAAGTCGCCCTTGCCCATATGATTATCATGTGCTAAGAAATAGTTTTTCGCATTTTCTGACAAACTATTATTTTGAGTTGTGACTCTTTTGAAGACGGTGTGCGATATCTTGCGTTTTTTTAATATTAGTGGTATACACCAAATTGAGCAAAAGGCCTGGCACTCTGGCAAAAGAGCAGACCAACTCAAGCAACGAGAGTTGTCAACAGTCGTTGCTTGAGCTGATCTGCTCTTTTGCCAGACTGCCAGGCCACTTGCCCAAATTGAGGTGAATACCACTATTGTTTTTAAGTTTTACATAATATAGCAGAGTCGCATGTTCAAAAAAGAAGATGTCCATACTTATACAGCAAATATTTAGTTTTCCTACAAAATAAATTATGCTATCGTTTATTCTCGGTACATACTTTAATAATATACATATGTTATATTTAGTCCATAAAGCTAATACAACATAGATGCTTCGCAGTTAGTAAATAATCAAAGAAGTAATATAGGACTAAATATTCGTAAGCTTGTGTAAGAAACGAGTGGATCTGTAAATACCTCGTTTAGTAAAGTTGAGAATAGTTAAATGATTTATTTAAAATTCCATTCAACTTGTCTGCAGGTTAAAAGTATTATTACATCGGCTAAGATTTATATACTGTCCAATTTTTATCTGGGTCGAATTGTTATGTTCGCGATCGGATATAATAAAGGTTATTATCACCTAAGCCTTATTGACTGCTGAAATGACAAATTAATCACGGAACTTTGTTCGAACGCGAAAGCTATAATTCGGATTTTAAGTTCCTACATGTCGAGTTTTACATGAAGAAACAGTATACTGCATGGGAGAAATTAGGTTATCTAATTTAACTTTGCATTGGAAGTTGTGTTTGCAACTCCACTGGCTGAAGTAACTGCACCTACACCAGCATTAGCTGCACTGGCCCCAGCCACGACAATGGAACTTAGCCGAGAAAGTGATGGTTCACGCTTTGGCGGTACTATCGGTTTATTGGGAGGTATAGGTGGTGGAGCACCACGTGCTCCAGCTGGTGGCACTGTAACAGGAGGAACAGCGATTGGCACAGGATGGGGGGCGGTCACCTGCTGATCCAGAGAGTGAGAGGCAGCAGCAGCTGCAGCCAAAGCTGCATATTTTCCTCCTGGGGCCCGCTGTATGGTTGCTGTTGGCTGCATTTTCACAGGAGAAGGCGATGGTGGAGCACCCGCAATAATGGCCACACCACCACCAACTGCTCCAGAAGGTAAATTGTTAGCAGTTGATGTAATTGCTGCTGATATTGCAGCTGCTGCTGTTGTGCTATCACCGATAATATTGCCCGAACTGGCTAATGCTACTGTTGACAGAGGAACAGGGCCAACAACTGATTGTACCACTGCTGTAGCAGGCAGTGCTGTTCCTACACCGCTGCGCAATGTCTGGCCAGGAGCCCGCGCAATACCAGTAGTGGGTCCAGATACGGGCACACTTGAGACAGTTGCCGTTGGCTGCACAATTTTCGCTATGTTTACCATTGGAGTGGCACATGCGTCATCTGAAAACAAGAATTACATTAATTCAATAGAAGTTATATAAATTAGTCAACATATTGCACACCTAGGTCTCAAGTGCGATCAACTAAAAAAAAAAATTTTGGCGATTTTTTTTCATAAGACAATTCATAGCACTTACACCCAATTAATGGAAACATTTTTTTCTTCATGATTAATACATTAACTAAAAAACTAGGCTGACTTCCAAAACNAGTGGCACATGCGTCATCTGAAAATAAGAATTACATTAATTCAATAGAAGTTATATAAATTAGTCAACATAATGCACACCTAGGTCTCAAGTGCGATCAACTAAAAAAAAAAAAAATTGGCGATTTTTTTTCATAAGACAATTCATAGCACTTACACCCAATTAATAGAAACATTATTTTCTTCATGATTAATACATTAACTAAAAAACTAGGCTGACTTCCAAAACGTATCAATACAATGTTTGGATACTGTTATACTGCGGTATTCAAACTGTTTGTATATGCAGAGTTGCGGGACATTGCAACCATATACATTGCATATTTTAAATATTCAATATAGCAATGAACAATTTTTCTGAATTTTCCATTTTTAAAACACCAATGGTAGCCAATAACAAACGATGCAACAACTTTGTTCATAATGCGCTGATTGCTCTAGCGATACGTTTCGACAACTTTACGGATGCGTTTTGGAAAAGTATACATCGTCAATATTTTGTAGTTCGGCGTTATGGAACATTATATTTTGTACGTATGCAAAGCAATTGACGTTTTGGAAGTCAGCCCTACTGTTATACCTGTTTTTGTATCAATTGCGTTGAATCTGTACGATCCACAAGCAGTTAAATTTCCCTATATGAATTTAGTTAGCTCACTTTAGATCTAGGTGTGCGATATATGGTCTCAAAAGAATTAGTTTATTATAACAATTTATGAGTGGATCTATATATTCTACGGAATGTACTAAAAGCTAATTAGTTATAATGTGTTATCACAGTAAGCAATAAAGATGTGGGTTTAATGTTATATAGTCATTCAAAACAATGTGTTGTGGGTAAGTAATAAAATTGTTATATGTCACCTTTATAAATTTGGTGAGGGAAACATTGCTTGATTTTTATTAAATTAGAAGATATTAGCAAAATATTTTCCCTTGAAATGAAAATTATTCTCCAATTAAATTAATTATGTTAGTATACTGCCGATGCTTAAATATTTGCAAGCTTACCATTGAGAGTTCTTGTTTTAGCACCGCCCGCGAGTTGGCCGCTTACACTTGATGCCACATTTTGCTGTAACAATTGTTGTTGTTTCTTTAAAGCCTCATTTTCAGTTCGCAGTAACCCTATTTCTTGCTCCAGTTCCTTAACTCTGAAATTGTATATATGCATACTAACAAAGAGATATCACTATAGCTAAATTGAAAGATGTTACCGCGCCTCTTCTTTTCCAACATTCAATTTTAAAGACTTGCGTTCAATTTCGAAAGCAGCAGATTGTTTTTCTAACTCTTCCTCCATACGCAAAGACTTTTTACTCTCTTCTTCGAGACCCTCGGCAATAGTATCTGATCGTTGTTTTTCTTCCGCTAGTATTTGTGCCAAATCTTCTGAACGCTTTCCTGAAATGTGATATAATAAACTGCAGAACAAGGTAGTTATTCATAAGATAACCAACCTTCTTCAATATACTTCATTAAAATCTTTTTGCGTTCGGCTATTAGCAATAATACAATCTGTTTTTGGCGATTGCGTTCGTAGTCTAATGTCTCCTGAAGTTTTTTCATTTCCTTTTCCATTTTTTTTAACTGAGCACGTTCTTCTTCTAATTCTTGGCGTAGTTTTGTTCTTTCTAGTTCTAACCCATACGTAATATCATCTCCTTGTGCGGTGTCATGCTCGTGCTTGCGCTTCTCTTCTTCCAATTCTTGCAACATCCGCTGATTATTCTCCAACGATTCTGTAAGTATATTTACCATTCGCAAATGCGTAGCCCTCTGCTTGCTAACCATTTGGTACTGTTGCTCCATTTGTTGCTCAATTATCTGTCGCACTTCCATTTCTGCTTGGGCTGCTTGTGTCGACGATTCGCGCGATATCATGTTGCCGGCAAGAGCAATTTTATCGCGAAATATTGCCGCATAAGGATCATTTGACTGCACTCGTTTTGTGCGAAGCTGCGTTATATATTGCTTAACCCGTTCGTTTCTTAATGCAGCGATTACAACGTCGCGTGCCTGAAGCTCGCCTTCCAAGAAATAAAGCATTTTAACCAGTTCGCTATGTGGAATTTCGGTTCTGCCTGAGGTCTGGCCAGGCTTTTGACCCACACCCGGTTTCATGGTTTGAAATTCGTGCGTGGTGTTTATGCTAGCGCTACTGCTACTACAGGCGCCACCATTACCCGCTAAACCATTGTCTATAAGCTTTTCAACGAACCGCGCTGTTCCGCTATTTTCTGCTGCGAAAGGGTCGATTGAATTTGGTTCCATTTCCTTGTGTAAATACTGCAAATGCAGTACAAACATTATTAATTCCAACGAATTCTTATATGGAGTTTAATTTTACATACATAATTTGCACTTTCTAGATTCAATCAAAGATAGCCTCTTAAAGAGTACCTAAAATGGTATTCGATATAGACGTTAATTCATTTTTCTATACTCACAATTAGTTAATTATTTATAAAACTTTATATTTTAAAATGTCTTAAAATTTTCCAATTTCTTCAATTTTCTTTGTTGTCATCTTTATCTCCTTATGTACCCATTGAAGTTATGGAGTGTCAAAAGGTTTGCCGAGGCCGAAAAAATAACAGAGTTGTATTACAGCATTGACTCAAAACTCAATGTTACGATATGTTCACATACTAAAGATTAGATAACCAGCTAAAATAAATGGCGGCATGCCAGATCCAACTACACAAGATCTCACAAGATGAAGCAAAGGAAAAATTAATTTTCTGGCTGAAGCTTGTAAAATCGGCGTCATGTTATTTCTTTGAAAAGTAAATAAAGAATATGAAGACGAAGCATAAAGAAAAAATGCAAGCAATTTTGTAGCACATGTTTGTGCTAACCAATTTATTATTTTTGTAGTGTTTTTGCAACCAATAACCGCGCACTTCATTTTAATTACTTCTTCTTCTTATTTGGCGCTGCAACCGCCTAAGCGATTTTGGCCGAGTCCAAAACAGCACGCCAGTCATTTCTTTTCTGTGCTAACTGACGCCAATTGAAAATGCCAAGTGAAGCCAAGTCCTTCTCCACCTGGTCTTTCCAACGCAGAGGAGGCCTTCCTCTTCCTCTGTTACCAGCATCGCGGCCCGCGTTGAATATTTTCAGAGCAGGAGCGTTTCTGTCCATCCGAACGACATGGCCAAGCCAGCGGAGCCGCTGAATTTTAATTCGCTGC